TACATTAAGTGCATACTTATTGAAATGCATATTCATTTATGATATTGAAAAGTAACTTTTATGTTTTTGGTACTTGAAAAATTCATTTTAAGTTCTTCTGCAATAAAATTTGCTTTGACTTTACATGACTTTATTGAATTATACAGTATTTATTTAAACACATAAACATTGGTACAGGGAGGTATCAAATAGATATGCGACACATAAATTATCCGATTTATGAGAGGGGCGGGGTACTACCCGGGTGCCCAAAACGAAGTAAGTGGTTTTTTTAGGAACAACACACCCCGAAACTTTTACCTAAAATTCTAATCCACAAGACAGTGGAGCAACGTAAGGAGATGTAGGCACATGGTAGCCTGGTGACCAACAATTCGTTCATACACCTTTTATTTCCTTAGCATCCTGAAGCCCATCTACACCATTCCTTTCCAATCAGAGTTTTCCAACTCTCCTTCCTAGGTGAATTCTCCGTATCCACCAACCCACTTAAAGCGCCAGACATACGCTTTTCGTCCTCTCAATTTTGTTAACAACAGTAATATCGCAAGAAGGCAGTGAGGAGGACTTCCCTTGCAGTGGTTGAATGCACGTGGCCATATGAGAGCATTTGGAGAGGGAGAGCTGACTCTCACTACTCTCGCCGTACAAAGTCATTTGAGAGCGAATTATACAGTACTTGATCTAGACTTAAAGTATACTGAAACACTGAAGGTAAAGAACTATTTGAAGCGACAGAGATTCAGTAAAATCTCACAAGAAATAGAATTCAAAACCTAATATTTGTTTGCTAGTATTGTATTATTGAAATTATATCTCTTATTTATGATGTCTTATAGTGAAATTCAAGATAATCACTTATTCGTTCTACGTAAATGCTATGATGGTTGAATCGATGTGATAGAAAAAACATGCTTAAAAGTAAACCCGATGGCGTTTGAAATGAATGGTACTGGGTTCGAGTCCCAGAGTGAACATCAACTCTGAGATGCAGGTATATCCAGCTGACGAGTCCCAAATAGGACGAAACACGCGTCCTGGATTCCACTGCTAGCCCCTATCCATCATTGCTTACATAAACCCATGTATATTGAACTAACATATTTCGAAAATCATAACTAATTTCCAATTGCGTAAATATTCAAATGTATATTAGAGCTATAAACTTTCAATTAGATACTAAAACAGTATGTCTATGAGTTATTTATCAGCTAACAAATGAATAATCAGGGAGGAGAAAGGTCACAAAACGACTAGTTTCTTTTAGATGGGCCTTTAACCCAGAGAAAAAACCCCAGGGAGTTGAATGGTGTTGAGTGTGGATTGTACTTAGATTAACTGCTGCAAAGGAATATAAATTCCTTTGATAAATATCCAATTGCTTCAGGACTGGCCTGCGTCAACACCTGAACTAAGGACAGGGAATGAAGTAGTCAAACGCGTTGACAACTTCACTTATCTTGGAAGCCTGATAAGACCTAATATGTTGGTGTCTGACGAAATATCAGCACGGATTCGGAAACCTCGCTTGGCTTTTGTCAATTTACGTCACCTATGGCGAAGGAGATATCTGTCTATCAATTAAGAGACAAGTATAATGCTCGGCAGTTCGTTCTGTTCTACTTTACGGCTGAGAAATGTGGTCATTAGAAGTAGAAGATACTCGTAGGCTATTAGCATTTGATCACAAGTGTCTTAGAAATATTGCTCGCATCTTCCGGGACCACCGGGTAAATAATAGTGAGGTTAGACGCAGGGTATTAGGGAATGATGGTAAGTCAGCTAATGAGGTTGTATATCTTCATCGACTGAGATGGTTGGGCCACGTGTTACATATGCCCAAACACCGATTAGCATGACGTGCAATGCTAACCGATGTTAGGGATAGTTGGAAGAAATTTGGGAGTGGTCAAACCAAAACGTGGAATCAGTGCTTGAAGTCACTAACTTTTAGTCCGAGCCATGTTGGTAGATGCAGACTACTTGGTTGGGGTCCGCGTGAGTATCGTAACCAATGGTTGAAGACTTTGGGTGACATAGCTTAAAATCGATCACAATGGCGTCGGTGCATACACTCTATCTTCCTTTAAACCGTTAACTAATTCTTTCTTCCTGTACTACACCCTGATAGAAAATCTTCCTTTTCATAGATTACTATCTTTAAAGTGACTACTACTACGAATTTGGTGCTCATCTTGTGCTAATAAGGCGTGACAACCAGAACCGATGCCTAGTTCCACGTTGTAACTGACTGACTGAATTTCAAATCCAAACTACAAAATTACTACGTATTGTTCAAACTACTTTTTGATAGTAAGTAGTAAAGAGCCACTGTGAAAATTAGAGAAGCATATATAAACGGACACCGTTTTCTATTAGTTTGTAACTAGGCTTTACTCTAATCTCAAAACATCAGAAGGAATTGGAGATCAATGTAAAAACTATCATAATTACGTAATAGAAAAACAAACAATGAATTCTTGACCATTTACATTTTTGCTATTGTCTGAGAATAGGATGAACTGCAAGACAATATTAACTGTGTACTATTGTTAAAAATGAACTCCCTTCAACTTAAGTAAGAAATTATAGCCTTTTCATTCTTATTTTATCATAATAACGTATTCATTTGATGTGAACTTGTTGAGTCGGCTTTCGGAGAACTTCAACAGAGCCTCCAGAGGCCCAGAAGGAGCCGAAGAGTCCTAGTCAATCAGAGCATGATGGAGCATTCTAGAATTCCAACGTGGCGTGCTACTATTGGTCAGTAGCACAATATGTCGTTAACGGATTGGCCGAAATATGATGTTGATTTAACATCTATAAATATCCATGTTTTCTGGTGTTCAGGTCGCTGTATAGTTCTAGCGTGCGGGTTATCAGAATGGCTTAGGAACGAATATAGCGTCCAATCAGCAAGACTTAACAGAACTATTCAAAGTTATCCATCGACTTCATCACTATAAGATATATATATCGTGGTACAGTCCTAATATATGTCTCTTGGGACAGTCTTTTCATTTCTAATCCTAGTATCTTAATTATTCCAGTGGAATCTCAAAATATGTTGCGAAATACGGGTCACAATTTGCGTAGACAATCTTCTAAACATGAATTTTTGGTTTCCAGTTCATGAATCATATAGAGATTTATAGTTACACGTTTAAAATATGACATTCGTCGGTTATTAGTATTTAGTTAGAGATGAATATCTGCACATGCCTAACCACCACTAAAATCGAACGGCGTTGTTGTTTGGTATAGGATTAGGGCAGAAGAAAGAAAAGGGAAAACGAAATAAAATATGGCATCGGTTCATGAATTCTGTGAATATTAGACTGAACCACGTAGGTAGGTGCAGACTACTTCATTGGGATTCGCGAGACGATACCAACCAATGGTTAGAGGTCTTGAGTGAAATGGCTCAAAGTCGTTTGCAATGGCACAGGTGCATCCACTCTTTGTGTTCTCCCAAATTCTAATCTTCTAAATTCTTCATGTTCCTTCTTTTCTCTCTTTCCAAATTTATTTCACTGGATTATACTCATTGAATAACATCTCAAACACTAATCTTTCCGATTGCTGCTTATACTTTTACTACCTCTACTACTATAGGATTTGAATCGACTATTGTATCTCTGTGCTAATGTGGTATAGCAACTTGAACGGATGTACGTACATACGAAGTTCTATGTTGTTGCTGACTGACTAACCTGGTTGGTATCCGCGTGATTATCATAACTATTAATTAGATACTTTAGATGATGTCTCAGAATCGGTCACAATAGTGTAGATGTATTCACTCTGCTTCTTTTTCTTTCCTTAGATCTCGAGTTTCAAGATTATCGTATACTTTTCCTAAAATGAATACATTACTGCTTCTCAAATCGTGTTGTTTGTGACTAGTCTTGTTTACTACTACTATTCTAGTATTTATCTCGATAATTTTATCTTAGTATGCTAATATCGTATGAAAACTTCAACTGATGTACAGATATAACTGACTGATAATGATAATTAGTAACATCCAAGTTGTATCTCTTCATTTCTGTAGCAATTTGGAAGACTCTCCCGATCTCCCACACTTTATGAGCATTCCATGTACCCAAATAAATGGTTTCTCTGCTTGTTAGAAGGAGAATTAGCCTTTTGACTTCTGAACGAACTCGGCTTTCACTATGAAGTGTCAAAACTCTTCTAAATGAAGACCTTCTAACACCCGGAGTAGAGTTTAAGTAGTTTGAATTATTTTTTATGACTAGCGTTTTTTTTAGCAAGTTAGTTTTCTAAGGGATGATGTCGCTAACCTGATGATTAACCCTCCTCTTTTATCCGGGCTTAAAATCGACAGGAGCCCCCGGAGGAGCTCCAGGCGTTGTTATAATTAGTAACCAGTCGTAAATAAATAAACAAATTCAAGGCAATACTTCATTACAATGAATTGTAAGAGTAAACCAAATCAAATATTATTCTACAAACAAACAAAAGACAAAAACGACAAAATTCACATTTTTTTATTTTTTCAAAAAATAAAGTTTATTGTACAATCCACAATCGTACTTAGCAAGAACAACAACAGCAAGTCAGTCAGTCAGTAACAACGTAAAATATCGTACGTACGTACATCACTTCGAGTTGCCACACCACATTAGCACAGAGATGCAGTTGTCGATTCAAATCCCATAGTGGTAGGAGGTAGTAAAAGTATAAGCAGTAATCGGAAACATTAGACTTTAAAGATGTTATTCAATGACTATAATACAGTGAAATAAATTTGGAAAGAGAAAATAAGGGATATGAACAATTCAGAAGATTACAATTTGGGAGAACATAAAGAGTGAATTACACCTGCGCCATTGTAAACGATTTTAAACCATTTCATTCAAGATCTTTAACCATTGGCTGATATCGTCTCTAAGATCCCAACCAACCATTTCAAACGACAAGACAAAAAAGGAATTTCAAAAAAGATCTATACACAATAATAATAATAATACTTATTATTCCCATGATGGTATTAATGATGATGAAATATTCCACCAAAAATTCACTGAATAACTTGCTGTTAATGAACGAACATAATGCCAACAACGTGGTGGTATATATAACATTTCACCCGGTTTAAGTATACTATAATAACCATGAACATTTTGAAATTTAGGAAATTCATTCATTAAATCAATATTCAAATGATCTAAATCTATTTTAGATGTATTACATAACATTGGATTATCATTATATGGATATAAATTCTTTGTTTCTAAGCTAGAATATAATATAATTAATTTATAACCATGAATTTGTGTTAATAAATTCGCACGATCATTATCATGATGTAATGGTGATATAGTATTTTTTGGACCAAACCATATATTTGTTTCTATGGTATCCATATGATGATGATGATGATTATCATTATCACTATTATTGATTGGTTCATCACCCCCAGTAACATAACAATAATCTGGTATATAAATATCATTTACTAATTCTGGTATCTGTGTAAAGATATCATATTGGGCTAAATAACCTTTCATTTTATTCTCATTATTGATTATTGATTGATTAAAATAATGTTTAATAAACTCAGAAATTGTCATTAATTTTGTCCCCAATTCTCTTGTGTATATTTTTGACCAATTTCTATAGGAACTAAACGATAACCATAATGATGTAACCAATAATTTATAGTCCATTTATGTTGATTATTATTATTATATGCTGGCCAAAAATTGATTGCATTTGTTATAATAAATGGTTTATTAAATTTTATTAAATTATTAAATAATTCAATACTTGGACAATTAATATGATCTAATTTATTCAAATTGATTTTGATCTGTTCATTGATTTGAATAAATCGATCTAGATCATGATCTAGATCATGATCAATATCAGGATCATGATTATGATTATCTAATTGAAATAATCTAGATAATGATAAATCATTTTCATTACATAATCTTCTTTTAATCATAATAATTTGATGTAATTTAGAAGCTAATTTCGATGCAAATTGATTAAATATTGGATAACCCATAATTAAACTAAGATCTAATTCTTTAATTAATTCTATAAAAGGATGATGATAGTGATCGCGATCATGATCATGATCATTTGGATGATCAGGATCAAACTGATAAGAATTAGGATCATCATTATTATTATTATTATTACTTTTATATAAATAATATAATACAATTAATAATTTAATAGATGAATATAATATACGCCAACAAATATGAACATTTTTCCAATGACCCGTATGTAATTTTTCCCATATATATTGTAATAGATAATTTGTATGATACTTAAATTCATGAAATGATATTTCAGTAGTATTATACATTTGTAATAATTTTTGATAATCTCTTAATAGGATAATACCATATTCTAATTGATAGGATTGTATAAGTTGATCAAAATCTTGTAAAGATGGAGCATTTTGATCTAAATAATTCCGGATTAACATCATCTATGATTAAGAGAGTAGATAGATAGATAGATAGAGATGATGTAGAAAGCAACAACAACAACAGCAGCAAAAAGTTTATATATACAGCCCCCAAATGCCCTGGTACGGCCGAGAGTGGGGAGAGTTCGCTCTCCCTCTCGAAATACTCTCACACGGCCACGCGTATACAGATTCTGTCAGGGAAGTCCTACTCACTGACTTCTCGTGGCATCACTGTTGTTTACGAAAATGAGAAAACAAAAAGCGAATGTCCGGCGCTTTAACCTGATTCCAAACCAATAGTGAACATAGGCTCCAGTAACCTGAGGGAGCAAATGGTGTATGAACCAATCATTGGTCATTGGTTACCATGGGACTGCATCTCCTCACGATGCTCCACTGCCTTTTGGATTAGACCTTCAGATCAAAGGCTCCAGGTGTGGCCCCCTAAGAAAACCACCTGCTTCGGTCTGGGCACCTGGACAGTATCACAGCCTTCACACAAATCTTATTAGATTTGTGTGGCGCATATGTATCTGGTGCCCCCTTGTACCAATATCTATGTGTTCAAATAAATAAATAATAAATATTATAAATACAGATATAATTTAAAAATAAAAGTAGTAGTGTATAAAAGAAACAATACAAAAATGTATTTTAAACAGATTTTTTTTTCAGATGAATTCGGAACACCAACAACAACAACAAGAAAAGGTTGAACGTTGTTACTATGGGACTGAGTGATTCGGTTTCCTAAAGATTGTAAGTATCCTCTCGATGACGAGTTTTAGTTTGTATGAAACATTTATTTCAACACATCAATCATTTGATTCATGTGAGGGCTGGGATACTGTCCGGGTGCCCAAAACGAAGTAAGTGGGTTTTCTTAGGAACAACACACCCCGAAACTTTTACCTAAAATTCTAATCCACAAGACAGTGGAGCAACGTAAGGAGATGTAGGCACATGGTAGCCTGGTGACCAACAATTCGTTCATACACCTTTTATTTCCTTAGCATCCTGAAGCCCATCTACACCATTCCTTTCCAATCAGAGTTTTCCAACTCTCCTTCCTAGGTGAATTCTCCGTATCCACCAACCCACTTAAAGCGCCAGACATACGCTTTTCGTCCTCTCAATTTTGTTAACAACAGTAATATCGCAAGAAGGCAGTGAGGAGGACTTCCCTTGCAGTGGTTGAATGCACGTGGCCATATGAGAGCATTTGGAGAGGGAGAGCTGACTCTCACTACTCTCGCCGTACAAAGTCATTTGAGAGCGAATTATACAGTACTTGATCTAGACTTAAAGTATACTGAAACACTGAAGGTAAAGAACTATTTGAAGCGACAGAGATTCAGTAAAATCTCACAAGAAATAGAATTCAAAACCTAATATTTGTTTGCTAGTATTGTATTATTGAAATTATATCTCTTATTTATGATGTCTTATAGTGAAATTCAAGATAATCACTTATTCGTTCTACGTAAATGCTATGATGGTTGAATCGATGTGATAGAAAAAACATGCTTAAAAGTAAACCCGATGGCGTTTGAAATGAATGGTACTGGGTTCGAGTCCCAGAGTGAACATCAACTCTGAGATGCAGGTATATCCAGCTGACGAGTCCCAAATAGGACGAAACACGCGTCCTGGATTCCACTGCTAGCCCCTATCCATCATTGCTTACATAAACCCATGTATATTGAACTAACATATTTCGAAAATCATAACTAATTTCCAATTGCGTAAATATTCAAATGTATATTAGAGCTATAAACTTTCAATTAGATACTAAAACAGTATGTCTATGAGTTATTTATCAGCTAACAAATGAATAATCAGGGAGGAGAAAGGTCACAAAACGACTAGTTTCTTTTAGATGGGCCTTTAACCCAGAGAAAAAACCCCAGGGAGTTGAATGGTGTTGAGTGTGGATTGTACTTAGATTAACTGCTGCAAAGGAATATAAATTCCTTTGATAAATATCCAATTGCTTCAGGACTGGCCTGCGTCAACACCTGAACTAAGGACAGGGAATGAAGTAGTCAAACGCGTTGACAACTTCACTTATCTTGGAAGCCTGATAAGACCTAATATGTTGGTGTCTGACGAAATATCAGCACGGATTCGGAAACCTCGCTTGGCTTTTGTCAATTTACGTCACCTATGGCGAAGGAGATATCTGTCTATCAATTAAGAGACAAGTATAATGCTCGGCAGTTCGTTCTGTTCTACTTTACGGCTGAGAAATGTGGTCATTAGAAGTAGAAGATACTCGTAGGCTATTAGCATTTGATCACAAGTGTCTTAGAAATATTGCTCGCATCTTCCGGGACCACCGGGTAAATAATAGTGAGGTTAGACGCAGGGTATTAGGGAATGATGGTAAGTCAGCTAATGAGGTTGTATATCTTCATCGACTGAGATGGTTGGGCCACGTGTTACATATGCCCAAACACCGATTACCACGACGTGCAATGCTAACCGGTGTTAGGGATAGTTGGAAGAAATTTGGGAGTGGTCAAACCAAAACGTGGAACAATGCTTGAAGTCACTAACTTTTAGTCCGAGCCATGTTGGTAGATGCAGACTACTTGGTTGGGGTCCGCGTGAGTATCGTAACCAATGGTTGAAGACTTTGGGTGACATAGCTTAAAATCGATCACAATGGCGTCGGTGCATACACTCTATCTTCCTTTAAACCGTTAACTAATTCTTTCTTCCTGTACTACACCCTGATAGAAAATCTTCCTTTTCATAGATTACTATCTTTAAAGTGACTACTACTACGAATTTGGTGCTCATCTTGTGCTAATAAGGCGTGACAACCAGAACCGATGCCTAGTTCTACGTTGTAACTGACTGACTGAATTTCAAATCCAAACTACAAAATTACTACGTATTGTTCAAACTACTTTTTGATAGTAAGTAGTAAAGAGCCACTGTGAAAATTAGAGAAGCATATATAAACGGACACCGTTTTCTATTAGTTTGTAACTAGGCTTTACTCTAATCTCAAAACATCAGAAGGAATTGGAGATCAATGTAAAAACTATCATAATTACGTAATAGAAAAACAAACAATGAATTCTTGACCATTTACATTTTTGCTATTGTCTGAGAATAGGATGAACTGCAAGACAATATTAACTGTGTACTATTGTTAAAAATGAACTCCCTTCAACTTAAGTAAGAAATTATAGCCTTTTCATTCTTATTTTATCATAATAACGTATTCATTTGATGTGAACTTGTTGAGTCGGCTTTCGGAGAACTTCAACAGAGCCTCCAGAGGCCCAGAAGGAGCCGAAGAGTCCTAGCCAATTAGAGCATGATGGAGCATTCTAGAATTCCAACGTGGCGTGCTACTATTGGTCAGTAGCACAATATGTCGTTAACGGATTGGCCGAAATATGATGTTGATTTAACATCTATAAATACCCATGTTTTCTGGTGTTCAGGTCGCTGTATAGTTCTAGCGTGCGGGTTATCAGAATGGCTTAGGAACGAATATAGCGTCCAATCAGCAAGACTTAATAGAACTATTCAAAGTTATCCATCGACTTCATCACTATAAGATATATATATCGTGGTACAGTCCTAATACATGTCTCTTGGGACAGTCTTTTCATTTCTAATCCTAGTATCTGAATTATTACAATAGAATCTCAAAACATGTTGCGAAATACGGGTCACAATTTGCGTAGACAATCTTCTAAACATGAATTTTTGGTTTCCAGTTCATGAATCATATAGAGATTTATAGTTACACGTTTAAAATATGACATTCGTCGGTTATTAGTATTTAGTTAGAGATGAATATCTGCACATGCCTAACCACCACTAAAATCGAACGGCGTTGTTGTTTGGTATAGGATTAGGGCAGAAGAAAGAAAAGGGAAAACGAAATAAAATATGGCATCGGTTCATGAATTCTGTGAATATTAGACTGAACCACGTAGGTAGGTGCAGACTACTTCATTGGGATTCGCGAGACGATACCAACCAATGGTTAGAGGTCTTGAGTGAAATGGCTCAAAGTCGTTTGCAATGGCACAGGTGCATCCACTCTTTGTGTTCTCCCAAATTCTAATCTTCTAAATTCTTCATGTTCCTTCTTTTCTCTCTTTCCAAATTTATTTCACTGGATTATACTCATTGAATAACATCTCAAACACTAATCTTTCCGATTGCTGCTTATACTTTTACTACCTCTACTACTATAGGATTTGAATCGACTATTGTATCTCTGTGCTAATGTGGTATAGCAACTTGAACGGATGTACGTACATACGAAGTTCTATGTTGTTGCTGACTGACTAACCTGGTTGGTATCCGCGTGATTATCATAACTATTAATTAGATACTTTAGATGATGTCTCAGAATCGGTCACAATAGTGTAGATGTATTCACTCTGCTTCTTTTTCTTTCCTTAGATCTCGAGTTTCAAGATTATCGTATACTTTTCCTAAAATGAATACATTACTGCTTCTCAAATCGTGTTGTTTGTGACTAGTCTTGTTTACTACTACTATTCTAGTATTTATCTCGATAATTTTATCTTAGTATGCTAATATCGTATGAAAACTTCAACTGATGTACAGATATAACTGACTGATAATTATAATTAGTAACATCCAAGTTGTATCTCTTCACTTCTGTAGCAATTTGGAAGACTCTCCCGATCTCCCACACTTTACGAGCATTCCATGTACCCAAATAAATGGTTTCTTTGCTTGTTAGAAGGAGAATTAGCCTTTTGACTTCTGAACGAACTCGGCTTTCACTATGAAGTGTCAAAACTCTTCTAAATGAAGACCTTCTAACACCCGGAGTAGAGTTTAAGTAGTTTGAATTATTTTTTATGACTAGCGTTTTTTTTAGCAAGTTAGTTTTCTAAGGGATGATGTCGCTAACCTGATGATTAACCCTCCTCTTTTATCCGGGCTTAAAATCGACAGGAGCCCCCGGAGGAGCTCCAGGCGTTGTTATAATTAGTAACCAGTCGTAAATAAATAAACAAATTCAAGGCAATACTTCATTACAATGAATTGTAAGAGTAAACCAAATCAAATATTATTCTACAAACAAACAAAAGACAAAAACGACAAAATTCACATTTTTTTATTTTTTCAAAAAATAAAGTTTATTGTACAATCCACAATCGTACTTAGCAAGAACAACAACAGCAAGTCAGTCAGTCAGTAACAACGTAAAATATCGTACGTACGTACATCACTTCGAGTTGCCACACCACATTAGCACAGAGATGCAGTTGTCGATTCAAATCCCATAGTGGTAGGAGGTAGTAAAAGTATAAGCAGTAATCGGAAACATTAGACTTTAAAGATGTTATTCAATGACTATAATACAGTGAAATAAATTTGGAAAGAGAAAATAAGGGATATGAACAATTCAGAAGATTACAATTTGGGAGAACATAAAGAGTGAATTACACCTGCGCCATTGTAAACGATTTTAAACCATTTCATTCAAGATCTTTAACCATTGGCTGATATCGTCTCTAAGATCCCAACCAACCATTTCAAACGACAAGACAAAAAAGGAATTTCAAAAAAGATCTATACACAATAATAATAATAATAATACTTATTATTCCCATGATGGTATTAATGATGATGAAATATTCCACCAAAAATTCACTGAATAACTTGCTGTTAATGAACGAACATAATGCCAACAACGTGGTGGTATATATAACATTTCACCCGGTTTAAGTATACTATAATAACCATGAACATTTTGAAATTTAGGAAATTCATTCATTAAATCAATATTCAAATGATCTAAATCTATTTTAGATGTATTACATAACATTGGATTATCATTATATGGATATAAATTCTTTGTTTCTAAGCTAGAATATAATATAATTAATTTATAACCATGAATTTGTGTTAATAAATTCGCACGATCATTATCATGATGTAATGGTGATATAGTATTTTTTGGACCAAACCATATATTTGTTTCTATGGTATCCATATGATGATTACCATTATCATCACTATTATTGATTGGTTCATCACCCCCAGTAACATAACAATAATCTGGTATATAAATATCATTTACTAATTCTGGTATCTGTGTAAAGATATCATATTGGGCTAAATAACCTTTCATTTTATTCTCATTATTGATTATTGATTGATTAAAATAATGTTTAATAAACTCAGAAATTGTCATTAATTTTTGTCCCCAATTCTCTTGTGTATATTTTTGACCAATTTCTATAGGAACTAAACGATAACCATAATGATGTAACCAATAATTTATAGTCCATTTATGTTGATTATTATTATTATATGCTGGCCAAAAATTGATTGCATTTGTTATAATAAATGGTTTATTAAATTTTATTAAATTATTAAATAATTCAATACTTGGACAATTAATATGATCTAATTTATTCAAATTGATTTTGATCTGTTCATTGATTTGAATAAATCGATCTAGATCATGATCTAGATCATGATCAATATCAGGATCATGATTATGATTATCTAATTGAAATAATCTAGATAATGATAAATCATTTTCATTACATAATCTTCTTTTAATCATAATAATTTGATGTAATTTAGAAGCTAATTTCGATGCAAATTGATTAAATATTGGATAACCCATAATTAAACTAAGATCTAATTCTTTAATTAATTCTATAAAAGGATGATGATAGTGATCGCGATCATGATCATGATCATTTGGATGATCAGGATCAAACTGATAAGAATTAGGATCATCATTATTATTATTATTATTACTTTTATATAAATAATATAATACAATTAATAATTTAATAGATGAATATAATATACGCCAACAAATATGAACATTTTTCCAATGACCCGTATGTAATTTTTCCCATATATATTGTAATAGATAATTTGTATGATACTTAAATTCATGAAATGATATTTCAGTAGTATTATACATTTGTAATAATTTTTGATAATCTCTTAATAGGATAATACCATATTCTAATTGATAGGATTGTATAAGTTGATCAAAATCTTGTAAAGATGGAGCATTTTGATCTAAATAATTCCGGATTAACATCATCTATGATTAAGAGAGTAGATAGATAGATAGATAGAGATGATGTAGAAAGCAACAACAACAGCAGCAGCAAAAAGTTTATATATACAGCCCCCAAATGCCCTGGTACGGCCGAGAGTGGGGAGAGTTCGCTCTCCCTCTCGAAATACTCTCACACGGCCACGCGTATACAGATTCTGTCAGGGAAGTCCTACTCACTGACTTCTCGTGGCATCACTGTTGTTTACGAAAATGAGAAAACAAAAAGCGAATGTCCGGCGCTTTAACCTGATTCCAAACCAATAGTGAACATAGGCTCCAGTAACCTGAGGGAGCAAATGGTGTATGAACCAATCATTGGTCATTGGTTACCATGGGACTGCATCTCCTCACGATGCTCCACTGCCTTTTGGATTAGACCTTCAGATCAAAGGCTCCAGGTGTGGCCCCCTAAGAAAACCACCTGCTTCGGTCTGGGCACCTGGACAGTATCACAGCCTTCACACAAATCTTATTAGATTTGTGTGGCGCATATGTATCTGGTGCCCCCTTGTACCAATATCTATGTGTTCAAATAAATAAATAATAAATATTATAAATACAGATATAATTTAAAAATAAAAGTAGTAGTGTATAAAAGAAACAATACAAAAATGTATTTTAAACAGATTTTTTTTTCAGATGAATTCGGAACACCAACAACAACAACAAGAAAAGGTTGAACGTTGTTACTATGGGACTGAGTGATTCGGTTTCCTAAAGATTGTAAGTATCCTCTCGATGACGAGTTTTAGTTTGTATGAAACATTTATTTCAACACATCAATCATTTGATTCATGTGAGGGCTGGGATACTGTCCGGGTGCCCAAAACGAAGTAAGTGGGTTTTCTTAGGAACAACACACCCCGAAACTTTTACCTAAAATTCTAATCCACAAGACAGTGGAGCAACGTAAAGAGATGTAGGCACATAGTAGCCTGGTGACCAACAATTCGTTCATACACCTTTTATTTCCTTAGCATCCTGAAGCCCATCTACACCATTCCTTTCCAATCAGAGTTTTCTAACTCTTCTTCCTAGGTGGATTCTCAGGATCCACCAACCCACTTAAAGCGCCAGACATTCGCTTTTCGTCCTCTCAATCTCGTAAACAACAGTAATACCGTAAGAAGGCAGTGAGGAGGACTTCCCTTGCAGTGGTTGAATGCACCTGGCTATATGAGAGCATTTGGGGAGGGAGAGCTGACTCTCCCCACTCTCGGCCGATAACCGATAGCTAACAACAAGACATAATGCATATAAATTTGTCACAGACAGATTAGTGGTTAAATTGAAACTTGACCGATAGAATTCGGTCGACAATATGAAATAGACACACATGTGACATTATTATTAGAGAGGAGTTTTGTGGATATTATAGTAATTTCATAGTTGAATTCATGAATCAATTGAAGGCAGACCACTATGAAAAACCTGGAAGCACTGGACTGCCGTTTCATCCTAGTATGGAACACCTCAGCAGTGTGCATCCATGATCCCACTGGCGGGTTTCGATCCCAGACTCATTGGTCTAGAGGTTAAGCGTTCCCACGCGAGACTGATAGGTCCTAGGTTTGAACCTCGTGAGGCGGGATCGTGGATGCGCACTGCGGAGGAGTCCCAGAGTAGGATGAAACAACCGTCCAGTGCTTCCAGGTTTTCTATGCTGGTCTAGCTTCTATTGACTCATGAATTCAACTATTAAATAAACACATGACATTAGCCACTAGACATTTAATTAAACACCAGAAGGTATATTTAACACAGATAGTGATAAGTAACATAATGCACAATACATTTATACTAATTTATAAATATTTTGACAATTACTCAATTAGAAAAACAGTTCTGACAAAATAATGATTGTAATTAATAAAACAACATAGGTCTAGGAAGAGATATCAACCCTTTTGTTAACAAATATAAATGTGTACCGATTTAATTAAACACATTCTATGTTGTCATCTTGAGATGGAATTGAGCTTTACAACGATTGATGATAATTATTATATAACCATTAAGTCTGAATATTTCTACAAAATTCAATTCAATAACTATGTAGACTAAGTGCCATGACTTGATTTATCCAAACGTGATATATTTTCCCAGATTACTTCTTTTATACCAGTTAGCCTTACTAGCCGATTTACCACTCGCTGTATTTCCCTTTCGAAAGCCAGATCATTCACTAACTGATAGTGTGGTGAACGAGAATACAAGTGGGGACAATCAAATCTACTTGAATACGAAATTAAAGAATCAAACAGTAAATCCTTCATTTGCAAAATATCTATCAATTATCTCAGACTTTGTTGTTCCTTCATTTTCATACCAATCAATCTCTGCTTTCATTCTTTTCTATTCGATCTTTTCAACCTTCTGCCACCAAGCATTCTGTTGTCGATTGACGATACATACTACTTATATCTGTCAACGTCAATAACACACACCACAATACCACCTCAACTTGAATAATGTTTAAAAGACAGGTTCAGATATAAGCATTCTACACACACCATATACCTTTAAAGGTCACGTTTCACAACTGTTAAACAATGTAAGGAAAACTAGTTATTGTATGATTACCAAAAACATCTCACATATAAAGCCGATTAGAACCATCACAAAATATAACAACAAGCATTTTGAATCACAAAGATAAAGTTATTTTTAGTCAAAACAAACTATTTGCGGACTAAATACTAAATCTTTATTTCATGTAATTAAAAAGTTGAAAGAACTTAATTATAACTAGTTGAAGGTCAGTAAATAAGATTTTCAATGAGGAATATTTTATGCTGAATTATGAGGGGCAAACTGAGAATATTTCTGCTACTGGTCACAAACTCCATATTGAAGAACTTTAGGCGAGTACCAAAGAAGTACATTAACCTTGTAAAGGCTCTCTACTCGAACACAACTGGTAGAGTGAGAGCTTATAGCGAACTGTCATCAGAACTGATTACCTCAAATGGTGTTCAGCAAGGCTGTCCCCTCTCTCCATTCTTGTTTAAATTAGTCGTTGACGTGCTTTTAGAGATAACACTTTTCTCATCTTAATTTCCAAAAGTTGAACTTCCACCGGTAGATTCACTTGTTGACTTAGAATATGCCGATGACATAGTTCTATTTGGTGAAGACGATGACAAAATGCAGTCTTCTGACCACTATAAGCAACAGTGCTAGCATGTTCGGGATGCTATTCTCCCCCTCGAAATGCAAAATGTTGCTTCAGGATTGGGTTGCATCGACACCCGAACTAATGATAGGAAATGAAGTAGTTCAGGCTGTCGGCCTCCTCACTTATATTGGGAGTCTTATCAGCCCTTGTGATCTGGTGTGACGAAATCTCAGCACGAATACAAAAGGCTTGACTAGCTTTTGCCAACTTGCGTCATTTATGGCATAGACGAGATATCCGTTTACCAACTAAAGGACTGGTTTGCTGCGTAGCAGTTCGTTCTGTCCTACTTTATGGTTGTGAAACATGACCGCTAAGAGTAGAGGATATTCGTAGGTTACTAGTATCCGATCGTAGGTGTCTTCGAAACATTTCTCGTATATCCTGGAACGACCGAGTAAGTAACCCAGTTGTTAGGAAACGAGTACTAGATAAGGATGGCAAATCAATTGATGGATTAGTGAAACTTCATCAGTTGAGATGGCTGGCACACGTGTTACGTATGCTCAAACACCGACCGCCCCGACGAGCGATGTTTTATGGTGTAGGAGTAGGTTGTAAGAAAACTAAGGGCGGCCAAACAAAAACGTGGCATAAATCCATGAAATCACTGACAAGTGAACTGAGTCATGTTGGTAGGTGTAGACTACCTAGTTGGATCCGCGAGACGATACCAACCGATGGTCAGAGACCTTGAATGAAATGGCTCAAAGTCGTTCGCAACGGCACAGGTGAATCCACTCTTTATGTTCTCCCAAATTCTAATCTTCTCTTTCCAAATTCCTTTCACTGTATTATACTCACTGAATAACATCTTCAAACCCTAATCTTTCTGATTACTGCTTATATTTTTACTACCTCTACCACTATGGGATTTGAATCGACAATTGTATTTCAGTGTTAATGCGGTATGGCAACTCGAATTGATGTACGTACGTACGAAGTTCCATGTTGTTGCTGACTGACTGGGAGAGAACACCAGGTTTCTTACCATCCCTCTTCTCCATATATTCGGCATCAAAACAACAATTATTTTTTGTATGTACAGACACACACAACCCTGTGTTCTCAAGAAACCTGGTGTACATTATTATGTACAAAGCAATGATTATATATATATATATATAAACTTTCATGTGTTGCAAAATCTTCACCATATTTCTACATTTCTATAAAACGTCAAATAGTCGGAGTTGTAATATATTGATATGAATGGTATAGGCAATATAACGATGTGTGGTAATTCATGATAAATAATCTAATCCTTCCTTTAAAGTACTGGTTGAGCTGACCAATCCTGATTCAACTAGGAGTCACAACAAGAAACCACAGATCACTGATGTTAAGTTTCAGTTAAATTTCATAGGAAAATAGAGTCATTAAGACGGTTTTCCACACATGAAAATATACTCATTATGTTTTACAAAACTCTATCGAGATAAAACCTAAAAATCCCTGTATAAGTTTCAAACCCCTGTTTAAAAGGCTACTTAAACCTCTTTGAAAGAGTACAGAGGACTGTTATATATGCAGTTTCGTAGGATCTTAGCTTGGCACCTCAAAACGAGAGGCCTTTGAAGTTAGATCTTTACAAACTACTTTGTCATATGATGAGTGACGAGTTAATTAGGGTGCACACGATACTTATAAATGATGTTGGACCTGGTATATCCTTTTCCAACTAGATCAGAACAACTAAAAAAAACAAAAAAGTTCAGAAACCAAAAGCGAACCGAATCTTTGTGATACACATGTTTCTTCAGTCGACTGATCAACTGCTCAAATCTACTACCTTGTGCAACAACGCAAGCATATTTAGGATGTGATTCTTCCCCTCTAAGTTCAAACTATTACTTCAGGACCGTCACACATCAACGCCTGAACTAATGATAGGAAGTAAATTAGTTGAGTATGTCAATCACTTTACATATCTTCAAAGTATCATCAGCTTCAGTGGGTTGATGTCTAACGAAATATTAGCATGGATTCAAAAATCCCGGACCACTTTTCACAACGTGCGTCACTTGTGGTATAGGCGAGATGTCCGTCAGCCAGCCAAAGAGAGTATGTTCTGCCCGGTATATCCTACTTTATAACCTGTGGAAGAAGACATGCATAAACTAAAAGTGTTTAGTCATGTGTCTTCAAAGCACTGGTCGCATATCATGACCGAGGAGCAACGCTTCGGTTGAGTGAGAGGTACTATATACAGGTGCAGAACCGGTTGATGAGAGCGAATCTTACCAACAGGGGTGTCTAGGAGGTACATTACGTATGCCCGACCACCACATACCTCGACTGATGGCACTATCTGGTGTAGGAGTAGGCAGGAAGACAGCCAAGAGTGACCAAATCAAGACGTGACAGCAGTCAATGAGGCCATTAGTAGTTGTGTCGAGTTATGTACATAGATACATACTACCTAGCTAGGGGCCGTGTGATCGCAACCAACAATTAGACTTCGAACGACATACAGAAAAATTTTCACAAGGACTCAAGTCTATTCACCCTGTTTTTCTCTAGACCCCAAGTCCCGAAATGTCCCTAAATTCTTTATACTTAACCTTTATTATAACTATTACCGATACCGTTACTACTTCTACCACTCTAGGTTCTGTCTTGGTAATTTCAATTCAGTGTGCCAACGTAGTGCAGCCGATACACACGTGTGCGTTTGTATGACTCAGTATTTCACCGAGAATGAAAGTTGGAATTCAAAATAAGTACTATATATACTTGAAACCAACTGCTAGTTCCTATTTTATTATTTTAATCGAGGATAAACATCCTTAAGGATCACAGTTGTCGCTTAGGACGATTTATGACCGATACCTCAATATTACCAATAATTATCTAGACCACAACTACTTTCTTAGAATAGATGAAACTTTACACACAGACCAACCTTATCACTTGGATCGACAGGATCGAAAAAACCTCGACTCAACAGTATTGAACCTAGTAAGTCGTGTTGATGCCAAAGACATCGATTTCGGGGATGACCTTCAGACCTACGAAACGGAAGATTCAAACGGTTCAAATGGCTCTGGACGGAATATAAGAAGCTTTCGCTCAACGGGCTTCCGTATCTAAAACCGGTGGATCACCGATATCTCCAGATAAGAATCTCGGTGTGTTAACGATAGAGAGAAAAAAGAAAAAATACTAGTAAATAATGGTGAGATATTGTCCTCAGTCCTTAAGATTATTTCGATTTTTCTTCTAGAGGACTCCTAAAAAGTCTCTTGGACTAGCTCAACCGGCAGTAGACTTCAAAATTTTACTACTCCAATAAAATAGAAAGCATGCTCACAATCCTTTCTGCTGTGTTGTGTATCCAGTTTCTGGATGCTACCCCTAGGGTTGATGTTGGGATGAGCCTAATTAAGTGTACAGGAGTGCTTAGGATGCTATAAGTCATCAGAAAGTCACCTCTAAGACGACCTTTCTCAAATGAGTAAAGATCCAAATATTGGAGGCGCCCCTCAAAACACTTGAATTTGAGTCCACAAACTGATTTTGTAGCTCTCCTTTTAATACGTTCCGATATAACTGTACCCGCTTACAGTGAGTGAGGAAATACTATGTTTCCGTACTCTAAGTGAGGGCAAATAAAACTGTTGAAGGTTATGTGGAAAATTCTCCCGTCGAGCTGGTCAAAGATGCACTTCAACGTTACCAGTGCAAAGTTTTCTCGGAAGGCACTGTTGTTGCAGTTAGGCTCAGATTGTAGGGTATCAATACCCCTAGATCCTTTTTGACTTGGGATACTCCTAGGGGGGAGTTGCCTAAGTCGTATTCGTGGTCTGCAACATCCTTCAGATGAACTACCTTACAATTTGAAGTGCTATAGGTAATTCCGTTGTCATCTTCCCAACTTTGAAATCGAGTCAGATCCTCCTAAATTGCCAGTTTATCATCTTGTCCGCATATTTCTCCAGTTAGGAAACAGCATTTGTGGAAAGCAACATGATAATAAAAAAATGTGGAAACTATGTGGAGTTAAAAGTTCAAACATAACAAATGAAGTTATTAAGATGTGACTATAACTTATGCACGAAACAGTGAAATTAAAGGTAGTAAATCGTTTATCTTAGAGCTAAATTCATCCATCCGTATAAATATATATCATTTTGACATTAAAACTGGTGCCATTTGGTGATGCGAGCACTCAATTTTATTCCCAACCCTATCTTCTAACTCTAAATTTTAATCATAATTCGGCAAACCAGTTCATAATCCTCTTTAGACCTTAGTAAGCAAGTAAATTTTCCCAAGTTCACTGAGGCGCCGCCCCAAGGTCGTGAATAAGTTTGGTCTTACTGCTGTCGGTGCGGTGTAGCCTCACATTGAACTTCTTAAAAATCAGCAAAAAGTAAACCACTTCGTGTTGGGTTAAAAAAATCATATCAATTTCTCCTCTCCTTCGTTTCATCAAGCTTAAGTGCAAAATTCACGGCAAGCACTCTGTGCCTAAAATGCCTGAAGTCAATGTCAATATGCCACATGTATTCAGGTTTAGACAGCACCTTTGTACGTGACACCTTTATAATCGAAGTATGCCAACCTGGTCAAACAAGAAGTCAGAAATAAAGGGGTTCGAAGATATGTTTGGAAGACTACCGATACGTATCGAAGCGTTTAGTCTAGGCTGGCTAACAGTTGCGAAGGATGCGTAGCATGGCGTATCCACTCGTGATCTAGTGCGAATGCGTGGCCAAACACATTCAGTTAGAGTGTATACAGTGAAATGAATGCGGTTAGCACCAATGTCAGAGACATACAGAACTATATGCTTTGGGAATTTATTTACCACTACAACTCGCCGCTCCCCTTCAGTGGGGTGATGGTAACTGTAAGATGTGGCCAGCCAGACGTTTATACCCTACGAGCTTGTCACTGATAAACACTTTGATAGCCTACTACGTCCGTCAGCATCTGGTCATCTTTCTCTAATTTGATGAGCCAACATAATAATTAGGAATGTACAGCAAAAGTCTTGATCCATTGTATTCTTCGCCAGTTTTTCATATATGCCAGCCGTCATGGAAAAGAAAACTGTAAATGCATGTCAAAATACATTCGTATGTGAGCAAGGACACAAAACGGCTATTCATGCAGTAGCGTAAAAACGACTTTCACACAATGATTTTTTTGAAAAAAAATACACAAATATGTGAGCATATTGGAAAAAATAGTGTTTGTTTTTTGGATTTTTGACGTAATTATGCAAAAGAACCGAGATAAAACAAAATTTTAGGTAGTGTACTACGTGAAGTAGTCGTTTAAGTGTTCTGAAAACCTTATCCTTCTTCCAGACCGCGTTGTATTAGGCTGGGTTTCAGATACCAGCGAAGTTTCTTCGTTACTGTTCACTATAGGATGGGGTATTGTAATTGTGAGGTTCGTGTCGGTTGAGCGTCAAGTAGGAAAATCGGCATTATTTGGTTTTCATTCTAAATAGAGTAGCCTTAAGACATACAATTCTGATGTTATCGTCAGTCTCCTTTCTACTGACGATATAGTACATAGATTTACGATGAATGACTCTGAAGAGTACTTCGTATGCCATCTGAAGAGATTATTGAAATGGATCTTCAGTTTAGACCCTGCTCGTGTAAGATCTCATATCCAAAAATATTGAAGAGAACGAAGGACCTGTGAATTCTCTTGGACGTTAAGGTGTAAATAACGAGTAAAACGAGTGGAAAAACACCGGTCCACAATAGAACATTTGCAGCTGAGAGTGAAATGTTAAGCTGTCTGTGAAAGCTTTCTACCAACCCCTCAGCTTGTGCGTGGTAAACGGCCGTTCAGAATCGTGTGATTCCTAATAGTGTAGTCAGACGACAGAAACGTCCAGATTCAAACAGGCTCCACAGTCTGTAGTGCTAATTGAAGGGCAGTCCAATTTTTCTATCCACCGTTCGATGAAGGCGCGGACCACTGTTTCAGCAGAAATTTCCTTGATAGGTTCTGCTTCTAACCATCGAGTGAAACGGTTTACGAAAGTTAAGAGATAGGAGTATTCACTTGAATCTGGCAAACGTCTTAACAAATCCAGATGAACATGGTCAAAACAAGCATCGGGAGTCGTATCACAACTCCAGGGACATTTCTTATGTCTAACCACCTTATACTTCTGGCATCTCACACATGAGAATCCCTATTTCCTTACGTCTTCATTCGTACCAGGCCAGAAAAACTGTATTGCTACGAACTTAATCGTTCCATGAACACCTGGATGAGAAAGTTTGTTCAATGTATTGAAGATGTTGCGTCGATAATGTTTCGGCAAATTTGGACGATCCATACCTGCAGATGTGTCACTTAGTAAAGTTTCCCTACCAGTTCCCATCTGTTTAATACACAGTTTTAGGGTTGCTGAAGAAAACTCGTTCTGAAGATCAGTGTCTTAGTTTGAAGCCGGGCGAGTTTAAAAAGATCGACTCCTTGGAAACTGTTCGAGGAAGTTATATGAGACAAGGCGCCTGCCCCAGAAATGTGTTGTGTGTCCGAAGAGACTGATCCAAAATGGTTAGTGGTCGCAGGAGAAGTTGGGCACAGCGTTCCCTCTCGTGGTCTGATGCATCTGCGTGACCGAGCGCCTTCAGTTAGGTGAGTCCATCAAAACGAATGTGGTCATCATCAAATGTCGAAGACTTACAGACCCACTGATTTTGTGGATTTATTTATCGCCAAAACTTATAACATTCTGGACATCCCTTTAAACACTTGATTAAGTTCAGCCCAACATAAATCCTAGGGATAGCATCCAGAAACTAGATACACAACACAGCAGAAAGGACTGTGGGAACACCTCCTACTTCATTAGAGTAGTCAAATGCTGGCATTCACTGCCGGTTGAGCCAGTCCAAGAGACATTTTAGGGGTCCTTTGAAAGGATATTGAGAGGAGCGCTTGTTTGAAGACGAGGTAAGAGGGAGAGAGAGGCTTACAGTCGGTAAACAGAGTGGTTTCTTGGTCTTCCACGGAGTGTTGAGAATGCCGTACACTCAATACATAGCCAGTAGTGTAAGATCCATTTTGAATGTTTCATGTGTGAAAATCCCACCATTATAGTTTTTATTTTTCTTACGCCTTCACTAAGTTTCCGTGTTTCTTCCCGAACTGCACTTATGTTGTTTTACCTTTTTTGATTGCGTTGCTTGTATTGACTGGAATTATGCATTTTTGATTGTTAATTGGGTCACTCTTCCAGAATTGGAAACACTGTGTTATAAAGCAACAAAATATTATCTTTTGAACGAATCTGTGCGTGGTCTATCCAGACAGGATAGAATAGCATTTATATGTCGTGATTGGTAATTTTCTTGCATCTTTATCAACTTCCTTATTCGTTGTAATTAAGTTTTGATTAATTGAACAATTATTGATTGTATAGCTGTGTGGTCATATTTGTTTAGGTAACAATATACATTTAAATTTATGATGAATTATAGAACCGTCACTTTACCCAATTACTTTGTTTTGGCTCCAACCGGACAAGGGCGCGTATTTGACCTACCAAAACAGCTATTCTTTAGTCCAGACCTTAGTTTGGATCTCACAAGTAGTTCTTTACTGAAAGTGCTTTATCTCGATTCAGTGCCTTGAAATGGTCTCGAGAAGAATATCAAACATTGTCAGGTGTTGTTTGGTCAGTGGTGTAAGACTCCTCTGATTACCGAGTTGGATCCGTTTACTGAGATAGTAATGAGTGCTTAGGTTCTCCAGTGTGCGGGCATGGTTGCTTTGGCGATAATTTCCATGACTATAGAGAATGCCTTCTTCGCGTTTTGGTCTGCATCTCCACGATGTTATTCTGTCAAGGGTCTCATGAGAGACACACAATTCGGTACGAACTTTTGGCTAAAACTTGTCAAGGTACTCTGGAATGGTCACCTTGTCAGAGAGCAGATGCCTTAAGCGTGCGTCCAAAAAATCTTGGGAGTTGATTCCAATCTGACATATTTGAGTGTTCACAGAAATGCTGTGCTTTCGCAGT